GAAGAGGCAGCCACACCAGGTGGAGGTGTTGAACGCAAGCCTCTGGTGGCATCTACCACAGCACTCAGTGCCACAGAGAGCCTGACCCTGCTCTCCACCGGAGCAGGCACAGCTGCGGCTCCGGGGCTGCCTGCTTTCAATAAGTTTGTGCTCATGAAAGCAGTGGAACCCAAGAGTAAAGCTGATGAAAACACCCCCCCAGGGAATGAGGGCTCGACCATCAGTGGGGTGGCAGAAAGTGGCACAGCAACCCGCATGCAACTAAGTAAGCTGGTGACTTCGCTACCAAGCTGGGCACTGCTCACCAACCACTTCAAGTCCACTGGCAGCTTCCCCTTCCCCTATGTGCTGGAGCCCTTGGGGGCCTCACCCTCTGAGACATCAAAGCTGCAGCAACTGGTAGAAAAGATTGACCGACAGGGAGCTGTGGCAGTGACCTCAACTGCCTCGGGAGCGCCCACCACCTCTGCCCCTGCACCTTCGTCCTCAGCCTCTTCTGGACCTAACCAGTGCGTCATCTGCCTCCGGGTGCTTAGCTGTCCTCGCGCCCTACGCCTGCATTATGGCCAACATGGCGGTGAGCGGCCTTTCAAATGCAAAGTGTGTGGCAGAGCTTTCTCTACCCGAGGCAATCTTCGTGCACATTTCGTGGGCCACAAGGCCAGTCCAGCTGCCCGGGCCCAGAACTCCTGCCCCATCTGCCAGAAAAAGTTCACCAACGCTGTCACTCTGCAGCAGCACGTTCGGATGCACCTGGGGGGCCAGATCCCCAATGGTGGTACCACACTCCCTGAAGGTGGAGGAGCTGCCCAGGAGAATGCCTCTGAGCAGTCTATGGTCTCTGGGGCAGGTAGCTTCCCCCAGCAGCAGACCCAGCAGCCATCACCAGAAGAGGAGTTGTCTGAGGAGGAGGATGAGGAGGAAGAGGAAGAGGAAGACGTGACTGACGAAGATTCCCTGGCAGGGAGAGGTTCAGAGAGTGGAGGTGAGAAGGCAATATCAGTGAGAGGTGATTCGGAAGAGGCCTCTGGTGCAGAGGAGGAAGTGGGGACAGTGGTGGCAGCGGCATCTGCTGGAAAAGAGATGGACAGTAATGAGAAAGCAACTCAACAGTCTTATCTGCCGCCCCCACCCCCACCCCCACCCCCTCCTGACAGCCTGGATCAGCCTCAGCTGATGGAGCAGGGAAGCAGTGATGTTGCAGGAGCCAAGGAAGAGGGAGGCAAACTGGAGAGGAGCTTAAGCCCAGTGTCAGCAATCACCCCAGAAGGGGAAGGCACCAGCACCACCTTGGTAGAGGAGCTGAGCCTGCAGGAAGCAATGAGAAAGGAGCCAGGAGACAGCAGCAGCAGCAGAAAGGCCTGTGAGGTGTGTGGCCAGACCTTTCCCACTCAGACAGCACTGGAGGAGCATCAGAAGACCCACCCCAAGGAGGGGCCGCTCTTCTCTTGTGTCTTCTGCAGGCAGGGCTTTCTTGAGCGGGCTACCCTCAAGAAGCATATGTTGCTGGCTCACCACCAGGTACAGCCCTTTGCTCCGCATGGTCCTCAGAATATTGCTGCTCTTTCCTTGGTCCCTGGCTGTTCACCTTCCATCCCTTCCCCGGGGCTTTCCCCCTTTCCCCGAAAAGATGACCCCACGATTCCATGAGCCTGTTTTTCTGTACCTGCTGCCCTTTGACCCAGGGAGCAGAAACTGAGAGCTCCACAGAAGGACGTCCAAGATTTATGAGCCCTTCTCTTGTCTTTTCCTCTGACTTCTTACATATGTCCCGAGTGGCTTTTCTGTAGTCCCTGAGCTTGGGATTGTGCTTACAAGGGGATGGTCCCCTAAGGAATTTTTCTCCCCTCTTCATTGTACCTAAGGAAAATAGATTCTCCACAGCTTTCACATTCTCCAGGGGACCCCTCTCCAGCTTCCCTCGGGTGACCCTTCTTCCCTCCCCTCTTTCCTTCTTCCTTTCCCTTTGGGAGGTGCATCTGAGCACCCACATTTGAAATTGCAGCCCAGCCCAAAGGGGCTGGCAGCTGTCTCTGGAGGGCCAGTGCCACTCCTCTGGTGACCAGGTCAGCCTGCAGGACTTTTTGTCCCAGGACCTTCCTGCTCAGCTGGTGGGGGTGGGTCCCTGATCTTTCTGAAGCCTGTACCTGGCTTTCTTGTCAAGTGGCCTGTGCATGAAGTCCTGGAGTTCCAGCCCCAGCTCCACTACCACTTCAGGACTGGCCACACCAGTGCTGTTTGGCCCAGGAACTGTGTGACTGGGAAGGTGCCTCTAACAATGGAATCCAGGGAGGCCAAGGAGAAGACAGTGCCCCTCCACCTGTTTCAGCGTCCTCTACCCAAGGCAGTGCCTGAGAGACCCATTGTAGATGAGAAGTAGCAAACTGTACAGTTCTTCCCCCCTTGCTCCAGAAGGTGCTGGCAATGAAGATGCTCCAGTTATTGGTGGCTGAAAACTAGGAGGTAGGGAGAAATGAAGGGCATAGGACAATGTTCCAAATAAATCTCTCTGTCACATTGAAACAAAGATCTTGGTTGGTTGATATGCCAAGACCTCTCCAGCTTCTCATTTGTCATGGCCTCTCAAAGTTGGGAAACAAGCTGATTTCTTGCCAAGAGGTCTCCCAAGGGATATTTTGGGAAGTGCGAAGTTAGTTCATATCTTTAATGAGCATTGTTGGTGAGGGTGGTTGATGAAATAAAGATATGGAGAGTTGGGGAATGTTGCTAAAGCATAGGGCTTGCTAGGAACCTGTGTGTATAAAGAAAGAAACATGATGTGAGGGAACGGACCTCGGATTCTTGTGAATGTGAACATTCTCGTAAATATTCTGTTGGGCTGATAGTGACATAGTGTGCAGCAGTACACCAGGGATCATGGGGGATTTCCTAGCACTAGTGTGCTTCTAGTTTTAGATAACTCCCTCTTTTATTCGATGGCCCCTTGTATTTCCCTCTTCTTCCTCTTTCAAGACCCTAATCCTCCCCATTTTGCTGGGGCTTGTGTCTTTGCCACTGTCTGGTTCTTAAGAGTCCCAGACATGGGGAGATGAGCTCCAGGTGGTGTCCTCCCTGCCTCTCCATCTTGTATTGAGATGTAGTATTTACTCTTAACATAGGATCATTTGGAACAGGAGTTCTGAGGAGGAGAGAGTGGGGTTTTGCTATTAACTGACTTGAATGATGGCATCTCCTCCAAGGCTGTAGGCTCCAGAGCTTCCTAACATAGTAAAATGTCAAGAACAGACAGGGGAGATTTTAGTGTCTTTCCCTCCATCATTAAAGGTGTTTTGACCAAATATTTGTGTGTTTCTTCTTATTTCATGATTAAATAGCCAGCTGGGGTGCGATACAGGCCTTTCCCTAATGTTTAGATTCCCTTCCCACCCACATCTCCTGCCAAAGCTGAACATATGGTGCTGAAATATTTATTTAGCCTTGTCCTAAAAAAACCTTTAGTTGATGTAATTTCCCTATGGAAGTTTGTGTTCTCAAAAGGCAGGGATTTGCCCACTGTATTTAGTCATTGTCTAGGTGTTCTCTTTGCCTAAAACCTTGACCCAGGGAGCAGAAACAGAGGTCCACAGAAGGACCTCCAAGATTTATGAGCCCTTCTCTTGTCTTTTCCTCTGACTTCTTACATATGTCCTGACTTCTTACATCTGACTTCTTACATCTGACTTCTTACATCTTCCAAACTTCAAACAAAACAAACATTTTTGTTTTGTTTGAAGTTTGGAATATGTTTCTTTATGAGTCTTTCTCAAACCCCAGGCCAGCTTACTGACATCAGTGAATCCATAGAACCTAGATAACCCTTAAGATCTGATGTTGTGGCCGTGCCCAGTGGCCCTAGCCTGTAATCTCAGGTCTTTGGGAGGCCGAGACAAGAGGATTGCCTGAGTCCAGGGGTTCGAGACCAGGCTGGGTAACTTGGTAAAACCTTGTCTCCACAATAACTCAAAAAATTAGCCAGGTGTGGTAGCATGTGCCTGTAGTTCCAGATACTTGGAAGGCTGAGGAGGAAAGATCACCTGAATCCAACAGGTTGAGGCTACAGTGGCCATGAGCGTGCCACTGCACTCTAGCCTGAGCAACAGAAAAAGTAGTAATTTGTTTCTAATAGTTTCCACCAACAAGGTAATGGAGGATTCTTAGCATTAAGAATGCAGAGTGCCAGGCTCGGTGGCTCAGCCTGTAATCCCGCGCCTTTGGGAGGCTGAGGTGAGTGGATTGCCTGAGCCCGCGGGTTCGAGACCCGCCTGGGCAGCGAGACCTCATCTCTACAATAAATCAAAAATCAGCTGGGCATGGTAGTGCATGCCTGTAATTCTGGCTACTTGGAAGGCTGAGGCAGAAGGATTGCTGGAGCCCAGCAGGTTGAGGCTGCAGTGGCTGAGAGTGGCCACTGCACTCCAGTCTGGGTGACAGAGTGAGACTCCAACTCAAAAAAAAAAAATGCAGAGGAGAGCTGGGCACGGTGGCTTACGCCTATAATCCCAGCACTTTGAGAGGCTGAGGTGAGAGGATTGCCTGAGTCCATGGATTCGAGACCAGCCTGGGCAACTTGGCGAGACTTCATATCTATAATCAAAAAATTATCCAGGTGTGTTGGTGTGTGCCTGTAGTTCCAGCTACCTGGAAGGCTGCGGCAGAAGGATCACCTGAGCCCAGCAGATGGAGGCTGTGGTGGCCATGAGCATGCCACTGCATTCCAGCCTGGGTGACAGAGTGAGACTGCAACTAAAAAAAAAAAATGCAGAGGAAAAAACAAGAAACTGAAAACTGCATGTTCTCACTCATGAGCAGGCCCTAAACACTGGGCACACAAGCACCAAAGCTGGAACAACTGATGATGTTGGGTACTGCTAATGGGGTGGGGAGGGAGAGGGAGTTTAAAGGGCATACAACTATTGGGTACCATGTCTACTACCAAGGGAGAGAGTGTTCACTAGAAACCCAAACTTCATCTGCACACAATTTACTTATGTAGCAAATTCTCATATGTACCATACAACTCAAAAATTAAAAAGTACAAAGAATGTTGAGTAAGTACATAGAGGTGAAGTGAAATAAAACATTTTTTAAAAATTTTCGGGCAGGTGTGGTGGCTCATGCCTATAATCACAGCATTTTAGGAGGCAGACAAGAGGACTATCTGAACTCAGGGGTTCAAGACGAGCCTGAGCAACAGGGTGAGACCTCGTCTCTATAGTAAATCAAAAAATTAGTCAGATGTGGGGGTGCATGCCTGTGGTTCCAGCTACTTGAAAGTCTTAGGTAGAAGGATCACCTGCCCAGCAGTTTGAGGCTGTAGTGGCCATGAATGTGCCCCTGCACTCCAGTCTGGGCGACAGAGTGAGACTCCAACTCAAAAATAAATAAATTGTTGTGTCTCTACAACATAATAAAGTCACACTTTCCTAAAGAATTAACTTTCCTAAATTCTACAGAATTTTTTTTCATCTGTAAGATTATAATATCACTGAATCTTAGTGCTCAAGGAATGAAACTGGCAAAATGATTTGCCCAAAGTCACTAAGTTGGAGGCAAAGTTGGGATAAGAACTCAGGTCAGCAGAATCCCAGTCTTAGTGCTATTTCCAGCGATCAGAGATGGTACTTGCTTCCTACCACTCCAAGACTTCTGATGTGAGGTTGGCTGTAAGAAGGGAAGGACATGAATAAACCTTATTGGCATGATTCAAGCTAAAGAACCTGTGTTTGGAGCTGGGCTCCATGGTTCAGCCTGTAATCCCAGTACTTTGAGGCCAAGGGGAGGGGATTGCCTGAGCATCTGGGTTCGAGACCAGCCCGGGCAGCTTGGTGAGACTTGTCTCTACAATACATCAAAAAAAGAAAAAATTAGCTGGGTGTGGTAGCTCGCGCCTGTAGTTCTGGCTTCTTGGAAGGCTGAGGCGAAAGGATCACGGGATCCCAGCAGGTTGATGCTGGGGTGGCTGTGAGCTTGCCACTGCACTCCAGCCTGGGCGACGGAATGAGACTTCGACTCAAAAAAAAAAGTAACTGGTGGGCCCGGGTGCGGTGGCTCACGCCTATAATCCCAGCACTTTGGGAGGCCGAGGTGAAACAATTGCCTGAGCCCATGGGTTCAAGATCAGCCTGGGCAACTTGGCAAGACGTCATCTCTACAATATATCAAAAATTAGCTGGGCACGGAGGCACGTGCCTGTAGTTCCAGTTTCTTGGAAGATTGAGGTGGGCGGATCGCCTGAGTCTAGCAGGTTGAGGTTGCGTGGCCGTGAGTGTGTCACTGCACTCCAGCCTGGGCGACAGAGACTCCAACTCAAAAAAAAAAAATGTAACTGGTGACTAGGAACACATGGGAACCTTTAATTCCTGGCAAAGCTTTGTAGTTCTGTTTTTCCTTTCAGCCTATGGAGGGAGGTGGGTCACCAATCCTTCCATCCCCTTAACCTCTCCCACCCCTTTTGGACACAGATAATGCCATTTAACTAATTAAACTAGACTTGCCCTCTCTTTAGATGCCAGTTCCCATTACAGTAACAACTGTCAGTGAGGCTTCTATTGATGAATACTTCTTTGGACAGCCCAGCTCTAAGCCTGACTCCCCACTCCACTTTTTCATAACTCTACTTCATTCTTTTTCCTCTCCTGTGCTGCTTTTTTGTTTTTCCACTGACCTCTCTTTTTTTCTGAGTTGGAGTCTCACTGTCGCCCAGGCTGGAGTGCAGTGGCATGCTCATGGCCACCGCGCAGCCTCGATCTGCTGGGCTCCGGCGATCCTTCTGTCTCAGCTTTCCAAGTAGCTGGAACTACAGGTGTGCTCTACCACACCCAGCTTATTTTTTGATTTATTGTAGAGACAAGGGCTCACCAAGTTGCCAAGGTTTGTCTCGAACTCCCGGGCTCAGGCAATCCTCTCCCCTCGGCCTCCCAAAGTGCTGGGATTACAGCCTGAGGCAGTGCTCCCCCCCACCACTGACCTCTCTTATCCGACAGTTTTCCTTTTCCTTTTCTCTCTTCACTCCTAATTTATTTCCTCTCAGAGGCTGACCATCCCCATCCTCAGCCTCACTATTTCCTACTCTCAGTCACTTTTCACTGGATCATCTTTTTGGAAGTTGAATTAAGTCTTAACCTGCTGGAAAGAGTATGTAAAGAAATGCAAGGCGGGGCTCAGTGGCTCAGCTTGTAATCCCAGCACTTTGGGAGGCTGGGGCAAGTGGATTGCCTGAGCCTGCGGGTTCGAGACCCAGCTGGGCAACTTGGTGAGACCTCATTTCTACAATAAATAAATTTTAAAAATTAGCCAGATGTGGTAGCGCAAGCCTGTAGTTCTGGCTTAGAAGG